TTAGAGCTAATTTTTTAAAAACTACTCGTGCAATTTTTACAAAACTTGGCAGTTTGGCATAATTTGAGTGGTAGAATTGAAATATAAAAAAAAAGGCATGTCATTTCAGAAAACGTCTGATTTTGCATCAAAATACCTATATTAGAACAATGCTATATATAAATCTAATACATATCCTAAGTCGCGCTTTTGAGACATGAAAAACGCAAGTTGAATTCCGTCAATCGGCCCAGTAGAATGGGAGATACAGAACTATACCATTTATTTTATTTATTTATTTATTTTTGTATGTGTGTGTGTGCAGTATACATGTAGAAATATAATTTTTGTATGCTTATCTTTTCCTTATTTTTAAACCTATTATTTTTATATACCACACATAACCTGCACCCATAAATTTTAATATTATATTTTGTAATAAAAGTGTGCATTGTATGTTGGAATATTTGGTAATTCATTGTGCATTAATTATTCATGATCAAACAATACAAACATAATGAAAGAATTAGAAAGGGAAAAGTGCACACAAAATTAAGGAATACACAATCTATAAGCCACAAAATTCACTAATACACATAACCTTCAATCCTGAAGTAATGTAGAATATCAGAATTCTGTGTAATAATTCAGAATAAAGACATCTTAGATTTCAAAACTTCAAATAATGCCTAAATTACTAAATATTACAGTAATTAATTCTTTTTCTTAATCTTTGTGCTACACATCTCTTTTTGATATGTATTACATGTAAAATACCACTCTATGAATAGAAAACTTAAAATTCAAACAAGAATTTTAATTATTGAATGTAATTATTGAATGTAATTTAAAAAAAAAAAAACAGAATGTGGCGGAACATGATCTCCCACCAATTTTAAATTAAGACGTGAAATTAGTGAAATAGCAACAAGCTTTAAGTAAATTATCACTTCTGGTTGATCATGTTGTAAATAAAATCGAGTTTGTTCATACACACTTTATGGTTCAATGTTAATTATAAACATTACTCATTTTTTATTATCTTATTTTCCCAAACAATGGACAATGATACCTAAACATGCCCATGCACAGATCCATTCTCATGCTTTGATTTAAAAATATCAATCAAACTTAGTACACTCTCTGGTCACATAGCTTCTTGGATTCACAGATGAATAACTTAATAACCACAAAATTTTTAAAAACATAATATCTTAGAATTCCTAATATATTAGCTGTATTTATTCAACATCACTTTCTTTGCACTTATGCCACATAAAATTCAACAACAGAATCTTTAAAATCAGCATATCATTAGAAAATCCAATACAGTGTTAATTGCTTCCATAACTATAAACATTTAGCATAATTCCAAGAGATAATTAAATTTATCTCTTGGAATTAAAATTTAAATTAAAATTACATTTAATGCTTATAAATACTATACCTTGTTCTCAATAACATATCTATTTTATATACTAAATTTGAGAAATTTTGGTTTATCTCATAATATAAATATATATATATAATATACTAAGTGTGCAGTCATGAATCCGGTTTTAACTTCTGGCTGTAGACATGGCTGGGTAGATAAGACAGGAATAAGATGCTGACAAAACTAATTTTAGAGAATCACCATCTTTATTTTTAAACAGATAAAAAACTATGTCTTCAGTAGACAAATTACTTTTCAATCACAGTTGAATACAAATAATTTTTATACGCGCAGATAAAAACAACATCATTTCAGGCAGGGAAGCATAAGCAGCACGGAGTTGTTAGCATAGCAGAAGTCAAGGAAAAAGGGAAGCGTAGTGCTTGGAACTCAGTATTTATACTTCATAGGTGCAGAGAGTATTCTAGGCTATGATTGAACAATATTAGTTTTAGTTACCTTTTTCAAGCAGTGTTATGAAATTTGAAATTATTTTGAATTTGGGTGAACAGATGAATTTAGGGAGAACAAATGAATAGAGATGAATTTTAACATCCTAAATTTGAACACCAAATTTCGAATGTTAATTTTGAGGTCATCGATTATTTTTTAAAACAGCCATTGCATTGTGTTATATCTTGCATACATATATAAACTTAAAACATCTAGAGTTAGAAGTGAATTGGAGTCAAAGCAAGGCAATTCCTCAATGATATTAATAATTGCAAATGTGCATTGTAGGTTTAACACAATATCTAAGCAAATAAAATTTAAAAATTCATAGTAGTACAAAGTTGAAAAATAAAAATGCAAAGGGGAAAAAAATATACAAGACAATAAAAATATAAAAATTAATCTGCTTTTATTGAAACTCCAATTCCGAATGCATCAAGGATATATATATATATATATATATATATTTATGTAAGCTTGTTCAGAGCCCCAAATAAAGTATCACTTTCGATTCATCAATTTTAGCCAATATCTAATATATTCCTTCCATTGTTATATTTTAAATAAAAAAATTGAAAAGTTTTGTATCATATTTTAATATAGTTTTTCAGATAGTTTTAATATAGTTTTTTTCCCAAAACAGGACCATAGCCACAGCTAATGCAGCAGCACCAAGAGCAGCAAAAATCAGGCATGGCAAAATTTGTAGAATTTAGAAGAGGCACTGGGCAGCAGAATTTAGTGGTGACAAAAATTTTTTAATTTAGGGAGTACTAGTCAGCATAATTCAGGACCTACATAGATTGCACTAGGTCGCAAAATGTGTACTGGTGGTCTTGCCTCCGCCCACATAACCAAATGCAAGGGCTGAAACTGTGATCTTTGCCAACATGATTATAATCTCAATCAACGTATTGTTATTAGCTACTACAATGTAAGTCCTTAGCCAGCAGGTGTTTGAAAGTGACATGCAGGAACTTCAGTTAATCTGAAGAAATATCAAATTTTGGGGCACCAACAGAGAGAATTTTCCCTTTGTTGAGTATTATATTCTTCCTATCTTCTGTACGGATGATAGGAGTTTTTTCCTTAATTATATATATATATATACACACACACAAGATAAAAAATATATAAATCAGCTTTATAATTCAATTTAACAATATGCTTTTAATCCCTCATTTCTAATTTTAGTATTTCCTCTCTGTATTCTAAAAATTGCAATAACTTTCCTGTACTGCATCATTTCTAGATTAGTCTATGTCACATGGCTTGTGTAGTACTGATAATGTAACTAATTTGGAACATAAGCTCAGAATTCTGTGAATTGAAACCTTTCTAACTTAAACCAAAACTTTTTTCTTAGCAGACTTCCACATTGGATAAATGCCCACTTCACTTCTACCTTCTGTGCTGCTTGATTGGTATTTCGCTATGTTTTTCTTCCTACTGCAATACTATTAAAAAATGTAAATCTTCTGGAAATAGGCATGATTAGAGTACCAAGTGAATTGTGGCCACTGCCAAGTTTCCTAGTCATTATAAATTTTACATTTTAAGATTCTATGCAATTAATTACTCCTCTTCAATATGAATCTACTACATTGCTGTGAATTCTACGTTCTATCCAAACAACCTTGCTATGTCTTTTTCTCTTTATTAGCTAGCAGTTTGGAGGTCCATATTTTGAACTTTTGTAATTCTAACGATATACAAACTTTATTTAAAATGTAAATAATAAACAATCCCTTATGTAACTTTAGTCTTCACTGCTAATAAGAAAGGAAATTCAAAAGTAATTTAAATTATTGACACAGACCAGTATCAAAGAACTTTGATTACTTCCTGATGCCACATTTTAATTTTTCTTATAAGAACAAAAAAAAACTTCAATGTTTTGTTACTTGCAGTAGCATAATATTACACAAATATTTTATTAGTAAAAATACTAATTTTAAACACATAATACATAAGAGATAATTGTGAACGAAAGAAATAATTTTGGTACTTGTCTTCTATAGAGGCCTTAGCAAGAATGTTGATTTGAAGTGTTTCTGCACTGGTGAGAAACAAATGGGTAACGATCTGCACATGTAAGAAAAACAAATGCTTACTATTACCAATCTGCACATGTACATTTTTTCTACTGTCACTTGTAAAATGTAATGGTTTTTTGTACAAATTTGCAGTCTATGTTTCTACAGATAGTGAAAATTTTTGCTTTTTAAATAACAGCAGTTTCTCTTTGTAAATACTTAATTATACTTACTGTTCTTAATCTAATATCAACTGAAAAAGTTGCTATATCCCCCCCAAGAAAAATTATTTTACCAAGTGAGAGCATGTGAGAAAATGGGCATAATATGCAATCACATATTTGAAAAGAAACCATTTGGGTACGCAATGTACAGGCACCAAGCCTGCCATGATAATATGTTTCAGGCATAATTAAAAGCAACTGCTGAACTATGGCCACCTGAAAGAATTCATCAAAAATTAATTTTATAGTGTTTATATTATGTTATTTTTTAAAAAAATTGATAACAAATTTATCAAGCAACATAATAAACAGAATTTTGCAAATGATTCAATTAAATACTACATAAATTACTAAATTATTAATTGCTAAAATAAATACAAATTTATATTATCTTTCTTCTATATGTATATATTAAATAACTTATGTTGTGTAGATACAGAAGAAACTACTGTTTACTGTAGTTAATTTTTTTCATGCATTGTTATACTACAAATTGCATTTTCACCAACACCATTTCTTCTCACCAAGACCACTTACAGAAAACAAGCACTGATATTTAACAATATCTTCAGAACAATTATCAAATTCATTTAGTGACACTGTCAGCCCTTTGTTATTAACTGCACCTTCTCGAAAAAACCCATGTTGAGCTGCACAGCATGAACAAAAATGGTCACCAAACATAATGAAAAACTGCAAGGTGTTGTTAAAACTTTTTAATACTAAACCACCATTGCCAGGCACATCCTTCTGATGCCTTTTCTGAGGTGGAATTAGTAATGGAAATTTATTTATTTTCATCTTCAAAACAATAACCAGATTTAGGGAGTGATATTTTGTTTTCAATATTTTTAGGACATTAACAAAATTTACCTTAAGAAAGCTTCAACAGTATAACATATTAGAGGTTTCTGATGAATAGGAATATACTGCTTTGGCGTATCAAGACCCATGCGCTCTCCAGTTCCTGCAGCAGGCAAAACTGCACAAACTTCAAATGTGATGGCATCTAAAAATCACACATATGAAATGCACATTTCAAGAAGTTGAAAGATTATATGTTATATTCAAATACTGTATAAGTAAATTTCATCAATATTAGTGGCAATTTATTAAAAAATTAGACAAAAGATCAGATTAAAAAATTACAATACAATCATCTAGATTGCTAAAGATCATTGGCACCAAATATGAAGTCAATATTTTTTTGCTTTCAAAGAAAGTGTTTCTAAATTCTGTTCAAACTGATGCTGATAGGTTAAATTTATGTTGCATAACCGAAAAACTAATTTTTTCAAAACCAATTTTTTGCCAAGAAAATTATTTAAAGATAAAGCAAGTTTCTGTTAAAATATATTTTTATACTATGAATTGATAATTATTAAAACCACAGAGAAATATTACTTATTTAATTCAAACTTAAAACTGGCTACATCATGATATGATCTCAAACATTCAAACATCATAAAATGCTGTCTCATCATATTTTAATCTTTAATAAATTAAATAAACTGAATAAACCATTCTTAACTGATGGAAATGCCTGAAAGGGATTGAAGACTATTCTTATCTTCTGAGAAACAAGCCTCAAGTTGTTGAAATAATAAAACAATAGCAAAAAAATTTGTTTTAAAGTAGAAAGTTATTTTCTCATTCTCTCTCATTACCAATAATAAAAATAACACTGCCCTTCTGATACTATACTTTTGGATATAGTACTCTCAAAAGAGAATAATTTTGAAACTGTCCTTCTGTTTTTCATTAAATTATTCATATGAAGTTCTAAAGTTTGATTTTAATATTAGTTTATTCAATATATGGACAAAAAAATCTGCAAAAAAAAAAAAAAAAAAAATTTTATAATTTGGAAAAGAAACTAAAAGTTAATTTGCTTACGCAAAATTACATAACATCATTCTACTCAAAATAAAATTACCACATAATATCAGAATTTGTAGTATCCATACAGATGCAACAAGCATAAAACATTTAAAAAAATTAATTACTCCCTCATAAAGAATGGAAGGACCTTTCTTCTTCTTCTTCTTCTCTCTCTCTCTCTTTTTTTTTTTTTTTTTTTTTTGTTTAAACAGGAAGCTTTTTTTTTTTTCACTTAAGTTTTCATTTTCTTTTTCCTATTTTTTTTCCTTAATATTTATTTATTTATTCCTTTTTTTTAAAGAAACAATGCTTTCAATTTAATGATCCAAGTTAATATCACTTACAAACACTAATATATAATATATAAAATTAACTAGAATATTTAACTTTATGCAAATATTTTCTTACATGCCACAAATTTCAGTTCTTTCTGATTATCTTTATTCCTGCCAAAAGTCGAGAAAAGTATTCATGAAGCAATACCATATGTTGCCAAGGCAGTTATGTGGTAACCCATGATTTTGTCAAAAAGTATTCATCTGACAACCCAGAAATGTTTGTAGCACTGATTTGTTTAATTAAGTATAAATGGGTTTGCATTTTTAAAATACAACCATCATTTTTCTGATTATTGCTTTTTTTCTGTACTGAGTATGGTCTCCTTGTAAATAATCATAATGGGATTAGCTGATGCAAAACAAAGCATTGCATTTCTGCATAAATATGGCATTTTGCTCTACGATAGAAAAAGCAAAAATTAACAATGTATAAAGCTGTGCTTCTTAAACTAACGAATTTTATAGAAATGCAATGTGAAAAATTGCAAGCAAAGTACTAGAATGTGGGTCGTAAATTGGTATGAAGATAGCCATATCTCATTTAGAACAGTTATTCACTTTATTTATTATTGGGGCTGATGCACAATGCTGAAGTTGTACTATTGCCTGATTTTTATTTATTTATTTTATTTATTTATTTTTGTAAAAACAGACCATTGTGTATATGGGAAGAAAAATAGCACAAAATAATGACAAATGAATTCCTAAAAAGAAAAAAAAAAAAAAAAAAAAAAAAAGTACTTTATTATCAATGCTACAATTCTCATCATTTTGAAAATGGCTCCTGCCTTTGGAGAAAAATCAGTAGGCAAAAGCAAGTTTTCAAATGGTCTCCAAAGTCAGCTACGATTTCACAACTTTTAGGGGAGGATGTGGATAATCACAAAGTATCTAAATTTCCTTTATGATTATTTTATAAATTACAGTTTCCTTCTACTGACTACTTATATTCTTAGTTATATTTTATATGACATACACACACACATACATATATATATAAAAAAATTGCAAATTAAAGAAGTAATAATGGTTTCTATCTGATTAAATGTCAAAATATCCAGATGACCTCACTGAAATATTTTTTACACAAAGTATAATTTTAAATTCTTGATTATAATTGTATATTTATTGATATAATCACGTTATTGTGGATTCTTATCTATTCATCAGTTTATATATTGCTTTTTTAATTAAATTTCATTGCACACAACACCAAATTCAGCATAATGCAAAAATTAAGCATTTTTCTTTAAATTTCATTAATTTTTTAAAGTGGGGTTTTGCTTCTTTGAAATGTTTTGGTTTTAACATTTTTATATTCTTAGTTGCATTTATAAGACTATTTGAAATTTATTAATTATGAATTTCAATTAGTCTTTGTGAAATATTAGTTCTATATTTTCTATTTTATGTCATTAATGATAATTTTCCTGCATCTTAATGCGCAAAAATACCAGGCATGTTTATATTTTTGTTTTCAAGAGAATTGTTTTGTAATTATAGATATATGCATACAATTAAAAGTAAATTGGAGTCAAAGCAACGTTATTCCTCAACAATATTAATAATAGCAATCGTGTATAAGAGGTTTAACACAATCAAAATTAAAATAAAAATATATAGTAGTACAAACTCTAAAAATAAAAATGAAATGCAAAAGGGAACAAAATACAAGATAATAAAAATTAATCTCCTTTTACTGAAACTCCAATTCAGAACTCATCAGGGGAAAATGAAGTTTCATAAAAGTCGATTAATGTGTTTTGAATTTGCTTTTAATTTCAGCCTCTTATTATGATTCTTTTTGTATTTATATATATTCAAAAGTACATACAATACAAATGAAGTAATTTTTTTAAGACAATATTCAACTATATGCAACAGCTGGTGGTAATATTGAAAAATACAAACATTTAAATCTGATATAATATTCAACCTGGAGAAAGGCAATATAAAAAAAAAAAAAAAATTTTTTTTTTTTTTATTTATTTAAGCAATAAACCATTGCGAAGGAATAAACTACTCCAGCAATGAGATCAATGGTGCATAAATGTTTAAAAAGTGCAAAAAATGATGCAAACAAAAAAGTAGTGCAAATAATAAAGAATAAAAATATAAAAAATTTATATCTCACCAACCCCATGACAAATGCAAATGGAACAACCTTGTTTCTGAACTGATAATGACCCAAATTTACTAAATATTAAAACTTAACAAACTTCAAAGCAGTTTGTATCGTTATCAATCCAAGGCTCATAGGCCATATTGACCAATTTACCACAAATCCAAAATCCATCAGTATTTCTATAACCAAATATATACAAACAACACATAAACAGTAAGTATAGTGAAAAGATATGAATTGAACCTATAACAATTTTAAAAGAAAATCTACATATATTATGTTCATATGTGTTGGAAGCACCGGGCACAGCTAACCTTAACATGTGATTCAAAGAAAAATAATGATATGAAATGAAACTGCTGAACCAAATAAAAAACATTTTCTCAACAATTAATCAACTTCTCAACCAGTTTCTTGGAACATAAGACTTTTCTTCACTTCAGAATGTTTTTTTTTTTTTCTTTTTTTCTTTTTTTTTAAAGCTTTTAATTCAGCAGTTTTATTTAATATTATTATTTTGCTTCCATTGTTAGGGTTATCTCAGCTACTGCTTCGAACATAAACAGATTTAATACATGCAACATTTCTTGATTGCTTTTAAGAATTTAATTTACATTTAATATTTGACACAACTGTTGTTTTAGACTATTTTGTTACAGGCTACAATTTTTATCTTGCTACCATGCTTACTATTTTATGTGCTGTCTGTATTTGTTTACAGAGTTAGTCTACAAGATATGTTCTGATTTAAATCAAATGAAAAGTTTTGTTACTGTTTTATGCAAATATCTGGATTTTAAGGGATTTTGGATTCGTGGAAAAATAGGGAAAATGTTCTTCTTATTCCAGCACAACAGGAGTTGAACTGTTAAAGGCAAAAATTGTTCTGTAAATCATTAAGTTTTAAATTTAGTAAATTTGTGTCATTATCAGTTCCAAAACAAGCTGTTCCATTTGCTTCTCTCAATACACCAACCTCCTGATTACGATGGACTAAGAAATGTAAATTCTTTATATTACTATTCTTTATTATTTCCAATGTCTTTATTGTTTGCACCCTATTTTGCAGTTTTTAAAAATTTATGCAGTATTGATCTCATTGCTGAACTAATTTATTTATTCACAGTAATTTGTTTGTTTAAGCACAAAAAAAAAAAAAAAAAAAAAAAAAAAAAAAAATTATTTTTCATTTTTTTATTTTAGCTTGCTCCATGTTGACTATGTACTGGATTTTAGAGAGAGAAAAACCTATTTCTAGCATTTTAAACTTTTACTTCTTATTTAATACAATTCGAATAGTGTTTCCTTATACTACACATACAAAACAAACTTAATCAGATCCATTTAATTAGACAATACACCACAGCAAAGGGCAGTAACTGCTAATCATATAAAATAGCAGTTTGCAATTCTTGGAAAGTCTTTTAGCCATTTTACCTTCATAAGCTTTTCAGCCCTTTGCTTCACAAACAGTAAACTATTCTTCATAGAAAAAGGTCTTGCAAAGGATTCAATGATTTTACTTTGATACTTTTGAAAATATACAAAATCTTTTCTGAAATACAAAAATTTTTCACAGTTACAGTAAATCCTGTGACTGCATGCAGCTTAGAGTGTGTGTGTGTGGGGGGGGGGAAATCCTTTATTATCAAATTGCCACAGCTAAAGGTGTGATATGTAGCAATGTTATCCAGCTGGCTGTACATTACTCATTCTCTCTAAAGTTTTACACGTTTATTATCTGAATCTAAGGCTATTTTCACTTAGCAGTTTGACAGTAGCTTTTCTGTTAGGTTGCACACTATTAACACTACTCTAGTTTTAGTACCTTACTCTGAAGGGGATATACATTTGTGATACTTGGCCCTGGAATCCTTTGATGTTTAATAACTTTCCCTTAAAAAAGAAAAAAAAAAAAAAGGCAATAACTAGTTACATGCAGCTGATCTGGCAAGCAATGTAATGTACTGATTATCAAAGTATCTGTTAGCTCTGCGAAACCCCATAATACACCTCTGAGTAACCATCCCGTTTGTTTGAAATTATACAAGACAAAAGATTCATAAAAAAACAGAAACTGGCAATTTTTCTTAATGCACTATTCTGCTTTAAACCTCCAAATAGATGTAAGCATCATAAATTTTCCCATACTTTTTTGGTCATAAAAATGCTAATCTAATTCAAAATCAATATTAACATTCTTCAAAAGATTTCTTTTAAGCACAAACCAAAAAAATTACTTTTTTATACACATATTTTTTAGAAAACTAATATTTAAAAAAAATCTGAAAGTATTCAGATTTTAAAAATAGCCCAAAAAGTCACTTATAAAGTTTAATATGGTTTATCATTAGATTATTCACAGAGGTGGCCCATGTGGGATAAAAAAAACATTTTATATTTTGCACATTCACCTATTTGATGAATGTGCATTTAGATGAGCATGGGAGAGTTATATATTTTTTACACATTTAAAAAATGAAAAATATGTAATTCAATAAAAATACCGTATTTATGCGAATCTAATGCGCATCCCCATTTTAAAACGTTAAATAATAAAAAAATTGTTTGTCGGCGAATGTAATGCGCATCAATGGTATGAGGAATTTATTGAATCTTATTTTATACAACAATAGATTTGTATATAAACTATCAATCAATGGTATGATAATTTTATTTAAATTTAGATACCATATTTTATACAACAATAGATTTATACATAAAGTAGCAGAACATAGAATTAACCTATTAGTGGGCTATTGTTATGTGAAACAATCATTGTTAATTACCACTACCGTATATGGTACATATCGTAAAGTATGAACATAAAATAAATCGTAAACATTTCTATCTAGCTAACAGTTTCTACAATCAGTGATTAATAGTAAACGTCTTTATTCACTATTTTGATGATAACATTTTTAGTCCCCTTCTCCGTAATGGTGTAGTTACGAGGCATATCAAACCAAATTGGCGTCTCGTCAGCGATGTCAATTTGCCCCATTGAAAAATTTCTTTTCCTTCTGAAGTGTGATGACATACCGCTAAAATGTTAGTAGTTTTCCCTCAAAATCTGCAGGAAGCTTTTGGCATATTGTTGTACGGCGTCTTAGAGATAAGCCCATCCGCTTCATAAACCGATCCACCCATCCACGGCTAGCTTTAAACTCTGGTTTCGGTATTCCAAGAACTTCAGCCTCCTCTTTTGCTTTATTTCTTATAGTGTCGCTAGTCACAAGTTGTCCATTCTTCCTCCTTTCACGTACAAATTCCAAAACCTTTTCTTCAATTTTAGGGTGTCTTCCTTTGCGAGGGACAGCGAATTTCTTTCTACTAGTTTTAGTTGCAAACAGTGCCAATTTCTGTTGCTGCAACAAGCGAACATTGCTCTCAGCTACGTTTAACTCTCTCCCAGCCTTTCTATTGCCATTTCTTTCAGGATAAAGAATTACTTTATGTTTGAAAGTAGCGTCATATGACATTCTTCTCTGCTTGCCCTCCATTCAAGACTACGTACTCTACAGTTTGTATCCTCTGTGCAATAATGTGTCAACCATAAATGTAACGGTAAATGTAGTCGAGAAATACAGTAATCCATTGTTACGATTTAAATTCGGTTGACGACATCGGCAAACTTTGCACTCGAATCTAATGCGCCATCGAATCTAATGCGCACCCCAATTTTGAGTACTACATTTGGCCAAAAACGATGCACATTAGATTCGCATAAATACGGTATTTAATATTTTTAATCAGATATATCATGAATTAAATGCATTTATATTTAAATAAATCAAATTTAAAAATAAAAGATAATATTTTTAAAAACTGCATCCATTGTTTTTAAACAGTTTTGTTTGCTAATTAATAAGACAGGATTAAATATAAAAGAATAACACCTCCCCCCCCCAAATGGCAAGAAACTCGAATGAAAAGTGAAAAAATGTAAAATTGCGTTTCAAGACCAATAGCAATTTTGGGGTAATAATTAAATTACTATTTATCAACCCATTTTAGTAATTACTTTTATACATAACAATATATAACTGAATAGCTCATAACCCTGAGTATATAAGCACTGTTAAACCACTGATTAAAAGTGAATTGATCAGTCATAAAAATCAAGACATTAATCTTCTGTTCAGATTGACTCTTTCTAAATACAAGATTAATTTAGTTTCATTATTACTAATTATGCTTATTATCCCACTATTTACAGAGTTTTCTTTTTTATTTGAATATTACCTTAATTTATGAATTTTAAGATACCAAACGAATTTTTCTCCAGACTGAACTGGCTGAAAATACAAGCATATTGTTAAAAGTATTAATTTTTTTAAAAGTACCTTTCTGTTAATTATAACATGTATTATCTCTCTGTTCTGTATTTTCTATCTTGCCTCTCACATTAAATGTAATGTTCAGTTAAGCATGAATGTTACCCCGCAGTTTTACTCAGTAAATTGGAAAGTTAATCATGATTTAGAATTATGCACACTTATAATTTATATGTTGTTTTTCTTTATATTAACCAAATACTCACTTAAAATATTAATATTTATATTTCATAATTCAAACTCAACATATAATGAAAAAACATATAACAAACATCTCTATATCATAAAAATTATTTAAAACAAAATCTAACATAATTTTCCCTTTTCTTAAATATATACTCAAAACATACCAGAATTTCTTGGTCGAAACTTTTTAGAAATTGGTGTTCTCTGAATATCAGCTTCATGCCCAAAATGAGTTTTCCAAAACACAATTTTCACTTTTCCATCCGACAATGACCGAGAAACTTCCATAATCGAAGGACATGTTGTTCCAATCTTATTTGATCCTATTTTTTTTAACTTCCTATGTCCTTTAGATTCTGATCTAAATACTCCAGAACGATGGCAAATGTAATGACTTTTGGCTTCTCCCTTTCGAAGCATTTTCTCTGATATTCTACGAATATATGCATAACCAGATGTCATTTCTAGTCTTTTCTTCCAGGTTTCGAAAGCTGCAAAAAGATACTCAGTTAGTAATTAATTTCACAACATTTAAATAAAGAAAAATTTTAAATTCAGGCTTACAGTATTAAACAAAATGTATATGAAACTAAACTCGGTGGCGCAACAGCCTTAGTACGCTACAGTCTGCAGTGCCCTTTTCTGCTTTCTTGACCTTTGGGTGCCAGAGTGCATCAGCATATGCCCTGGACAAGTGGTCAGCTTGTTGCAGGACCCCCAATTTTTAGTCCCCAAGTGAACTTGGTGCTCATTTTATCAACCCACTTAAGGGATGAAAGGCTGAGACAACCTTGCCCAGCTGGGGGGGGGTCGAACTCCGAACCTGTGATGCAGCTGCGCGATGCGCTAGCCACTTTGCCACCAAGCAGTCGTATATAAAACTGTGCAGGGGGAAAAAAAAAAGATTCTACAATACTGCCTATTTTATTTTACATCTGTTTCTCTTTTACAGCAAGCAATGCATGAAGAGATATGGAAATTATAGTTGGAATTTTTTTCACAGTTTTACAAATCATCATTCAGTTTATCCTGCAAAAATGAATTTGGCATCTTAAGCACTATAAACACATCTCTCTCTTTCAGAGAACCAACCTGCTTTGAACCATCTACCAAATTAACCAATAAAAGGAGTACATGTAATTTTTTCCTCCCTTCTGCATAGGAAATTTCAGATGATAGTTTACATTTCGACGAATCACTGTCAGAATCCAAATTCCATCTCTGTGGTTATTAACAATAGAGTAACAGTTTTCCTTTATATGAAAGAAAAAAAATGCTTTTGATGCAATGAAAAGTAATGAATTCAAATGGTAACCTGAATATCTGCCAAGATTACCACATTAAATACATATTTGGTGACATATCACCAAATTAGCAAAATTTTAGCCCAGTTATCCAAAAAAAATGGAAACTCACAAAAAAATGAATTTTATGTGCAAGATCAAAATATTAGAACAGTTTCTGTAAAAAATATAAAAACTCATAAAAGCTTGTAGGGTTTATATTCATTTTAACTAACATATATTTTAAGTTTAAACTATCTTTCCTGTCAAGCCTTACTTCCCCTGGAATTGCCAATGCCAGAGTATGTAAATTTTAGTAGAATGCGCAAGGATTCAAATTGTCAGCGGAAGTAATCTGAGTTAAATAGAAGGGAAATGAGTTCGAAAGTGTGCTTTCTTGCTTCACGAGCGTGGAGGTGGCTAGTTAGAAATTGAAGAACCACGCATTTCGGCCTGTGTGTTTGCCTCAGTAGATAGTTAAATCTTTCAACGTAATATTCAGAAGTTTGCTGAATTGTCAGTGGTATCTTAGAACGTGTTAGGTTAGTTACGTTTAGAGAGCCTCGTAGTTAGTCACTTGTTATTATTCTTTTTTGAGTTTCTTATTTTTATTTTACCGCCGGCTCGGCGTAGTTTGTGAGCGTCAAGAGCACGCATCTGTAATTTCTAAAGTTGAATAAAAAAGGGATTTAAACCCTTCTCAAGACTTTGTATACTTTCCAGTTCATAGCAGTCACCACTATTGTTGCGTGCAGATTGGAAGCACGCAACATTACAAGCTGGCAGATATCTAAGGATAATAAACACTATGGAATAAGTCACATTCTGCATCATATAATTACAAGCCTTACAAAACCACATCCAGGCACTTGAGACCTGGCTAACTAGATGGAAGGTGGTATTCAATGTAGACAAACCTGCTGCCATTCTCTTCACAAAGAAAAGGAAGATTGTTGATTTCCATATGATTCCTCCCTGCCCTGGGCTAGTCAGCTACCTATCTCAGGGTAATAAAAATCTCACAAGGTTCCCTCATATGCAATCTATTATCCAGAAATTCTGGATCCGTGAAGCTAAACTTTTCCCCTTAACTGCCCGAAGCATCATTTTATCTCTAGCCAACAAGTTACAAATTTACAAAACCATATGACATCCCATGCTCAGTTATGCCTGCCTGTTTGAGCGTACTCCTGCAAAACAAACTGGAAGCAACTTTCAACTGTGCAAAATTGCATCCTAAGACAGATCGCCTGCTACCTATGGTTTGTCAGTAATAACGTAATCCATGAAGAACTAGGTATGGTCAAAAGTCGTTAATCCGGACTCGTCGGGACTTCGGCGATTTCGGATTATCGATTTTTCCGGAATATAGATCATCAGTTTAAATCTGGTAAGATGGCATGCAGAAATTATAAAATTAAAAATATGAAAATGTAATTTATGAAATAAAAAACACTTATGATCTGATGGGTATCAAAATTTACAAAAAAAAAAGCTTATTATTTATTTGTTTACTTTATTAAACATTTCTTTCAATGTAAGTTGTTTCGTTTTTTATGTGATAATACATTCTCTTTAATTCTATAAACAGACATAATTTCTTGTTCAGTTACAAAGTTCTGCTGTTCAAGTCCTATAATTGCTGTGTCAAGAATACAGACTAATTTGTCAACCGAAATTTTTTCATTTTCAATAACCTCTGTCACTTTCTTCGCTATCGGAAGCGAATTATAATGACGAGGCATTTGATTTAAATCATATCAAAGACAAAATACATCGAGTTGAAATACTACATTTAGCAAGGAATTATAAGCCAAATAAAATAAAAACATCTGCCCTGAAGATAAGGATAGTGCTGACAGATCATTTTCCAATTCATTGCGCACCGCGGCATTAAAGATAAACAAACGTTAAATTTTAGATAAACAAAAGGTATGCCTTTATCCATTTTAGCAATTCCACTTTTTGTTTAATGGACTTCAAAACATACTTTCGCTTTGTAGATCCTTTACATATTAGTAAATACATATCAGAAATTCTATTTGACATAATCAAAAGTTCAAGCTTACTTTTATAAAATTGCTCTAACAGTCTGCAAAAAATAATAAGCAGAATCCAATTCAAAGATTAAGGAACAACGCAATCTGCAACATTAACTGAATTAGATAATTTTAGCTTAGCTTATACCGTCCGTTATACATTAAACGCGCATTCGTTAACGTATTTTGCACACACGCGTATTCGCAGCCGTAAAGGTCTCACGCGCATGCGTCAACGCGACGCATGAGCAGAAAGTTTGTAGCTTTGAGGTCCGGATTATAGATCATTCCAAATTATGGGTGTCCGAATTAACGACTTTTGACTGTATAGCAGTATTTAATGCCTACTTCCACCACCTGGCACACAATTTCCATTTGATTCTTAGGAATTCAAAGAACAGCGTCATTCTTATCTTAATTATGATTACAGTTCTCGTCACTATGTGAAATGGCTAATGGCCAATGTCACCGCGCGCTATGAACTGGAAGTTGATCTGTCAGCACTATCGTTATCTTTAGGGCAGATGTTTTTATTTTATTCGGCTTATAATTCCTTATTAAATGTAGTATTTAATCTCGATGTACTCTGTCTTTGATATGATTTAAATCAAATTTCTCATCATTATAAATATCACGAATACAAATCAAATAGTTTTCTGGTTGCAATTTTGTAATTCCGGCTATGCGTAGGGTATGCTTTACGCATACGCGCGTTTAAAGAAATGTTTAATAAAGTAAACAAATAAATATTAAGCTTCATTTTTTGTAAATTTTGATACCCTTTAGATCATAATTGCTCATTATTTTATAAATTACGCTTTCATATTTTTAATTTTATAATTTCTGCGTGCCATCTTACCAGATTTAAACTTATGATCTATAATCCGGAAAAATCGATAATTCGGAATCGTCGAAGTCCCGACGAGTCCGGATTAAAGACTTTTGACTGTAATCAGTTTTGATGAAGGTTGGACCTCGAGTCCAAACCCTCTGGTGCTAACACAATTTCTACCTGCAGAACCCACCAATCCATGTATGCTCAAAGACACATGCGTGAACTTTTTTTTTTTTTTCTTTTTTCCTTTTTTATCAACTCATAAGGCCAGAAGTAGTAACCATTGCATGTGTGAACTGACGACTACTGCATGCAATGAAATGTAAACCAAAACTCATGGCAATTCTACCTTCCTTATAGAAGAAATGTTCAAAAGTTTCAATTCTGCATGTTTTTGCAGAAAAGTGTAATGTGACCAAAACTATTGCAGTCTAAAAGCCTATTTTATATGGATCTAACCATGCTTCTCTTTCATACAGATCTCTTGAACAATTGATAATGGGTCAAGGGTTTCTGTTTAAATATTTTCTTAAATGGAAACCCTTGACCTAGTAGAGACCTGTTCAAGAACTATATGGAAGAAAAACATCTCAATAAAAAATTTTAAATTAATAAAAAAACTAACCTTAGATGAGCATAAATTGTTAATAAAACACAAAAATTTATTAGTATTTATCTTTTAGTTTTATTCAAAATTCATGCCAACCTAAGATTTGTCTATTGCCTAAATTTACATGTTTGAAAGATATTTAGTTGCACATTCCTTTGAAATATACCCTGTACATTATTTCTTTTAAATATGATGCATATAGAAAAAATATTACTTAAATTAACTAGTTGCAGACAGTTTACACATATATGTGACGAATCATCCATACAGTTACATTAAGTGGAATATTTTTCTCACCCACAAAGGATTAATATTGCATACTTACTTTCATAATCTGGAAAATCATGATCTTCTTTTTCCAAAGTACAAGTATGGAAAGACTCCAAATGAGTACGTAATTCTTTATAAGTGCGAAATTTTTCTTCGCATTGGAGTGGACAACTTATTTTCCCTTGAAGCTGTGGAGTAATGTTATGTTTTTTTCGCATATGCTGATAGAGATTTTTATTGAAAGTAAAAGTCTTTGCACACACAGAACACTGAGACATGGTCCTTGAAATCTCTGTATTAAATCCACATCCTAAATTAAAAAACATATCCACAGATTATTTTGCAATAAAATATAATTAATTGAATATAAGGAAACACAAAATCACAAAAAGTAAGCATAATTATTAAGCTGAACACATAAATAGTAAGTTGTTAACAACCTCTAGCTATTATTAACTAATTACTATTTGACATTTTATATTATTAAATTTTACTCTCTTTTTGAAAAGATCTCCATCTTATTATTAACTAATTACTATGGGACACTTTGTTATTCCATCACTAAATTTCGCCCTCTTTTTGAAAAAAATCAAGGACATTTCTGATTATTTAAAAAATTTTCTATGTTTTTTTAATTGCTTAAATAAACCTTTCCTTTTTATCAATTTTAAATTAATAAATGCTTTAAATGTTCTTCTTAAACTATAAGGTAGGTAGGTGCATTAACATATTAACTGGTGAAGAATTTCTATTTTTTATCAAATTAAATTATTATAAATAGAGTTCACAGCAAAAATTTTATATGGCGAAGATTCAGTTTTATTGTTTAAGTAACCAATATGAACTTTACAACTATTTTATTTACAGAAAGCACTGCTTTATTAAAGCTATCACTGTATAAGTGATAATATATATTTGAAATTTTTCCATAGCAGACTGGACAGTTAAATTTGCCTAATTTGATGATCAACCATGACCACTTACTATACTGAAGTTACTTACAACTTAATGTTTTTTATAAATCTAGTAATGAAAATTTTACAGTAGTTTTAGGAATTAATCATAATAAGAAAATATACCACTATTTTCACTTGTAGTTAAATTCCATAGCACTTAAAAAAAAAAATTTAAACATATGTTTTAAAACGAAATTATTAAGGAAAAACGTGAATGTTTATTTCTGAAGAGCAATAAATGTAAAAATATTACTTATGTCTATCAATGATTCCACTTGAAGTGACTACAGTCAAAAGTCTTTAATCCGGACTCGTCGGGACTTCAGCGATTCTGGATTATCGGCTTTTCCGGATTATAGATCATCAGTTTAAATCTGGTAAGATGGCATGTAGAAATTATAAAATCAAAAATATGAAACCGTAATTTATGAAATAAAGAGCAATTATGATCTAAAGGGTATCAAAATTTACAAAAAAAAAAAGCTTTATATTTATTTCTTTACTTTATTAAACATTTCTTTCAGTGCGCACATGCTTAAAGCATACATTACGCATAGTCGAAATTAGAAAATTGCAACCAGAAAACTATTTGATGTGTATTCGTGATATTTATAATGACGAGGAATTTGATATCATATCAGAGTACATCGAGATGAAATACAGTCAAAAGTCGTTAATTCGGACACCCATAATCCGGACCTCAAAGCTACAAACTTTCTGCGCATGCGTCGCGTTCACGCATGCGCAGAGGCGTTTACGAGAGCGCGTAAGACACTTACGGCTGCGAATATGTTTGTGCGCATGCGCGTTTAAATTGTGACGGAGTTATACGCTAAGCTAAAGTTATCTAATTCAGTTAATGTTGCCGATTGCGTTGTTCCTTAATCTTCGAATTGGATCCGGCTTATTATTTTTTGCAGAATGTTAGAGCAATTTTATAAAAGTAAGCTTGAACTTTCGATTATGTCAAATAGAATTTCCGATATATATTTACTACAAAGCGAAGTATGTTTGAAATCTGAAATCTGTTTATCAATTCACGCTGCTCTGCGGCAGAGGGGGGGGGGGGCAGAAAAACGTCATTATTAGATTATGATAGATTAGAAAGATTATGTCAAATAGAATTTCCGATATATATTTACTAATATGTAATTTGTATCTACAAAGCGAAAGTATGTTTTGAAATCCGAAATCTGTTATCAAATTTCACGCGGCGGATTGGAAGTTGATCTGTCAGCACTATCCTTATCTTCAGGGCAGATGTTTTTATTTTATTTGGTTTATAATTCCATACTAAGTGTAGTATTTCATTCTGTCTTTGATATGATTTAAATCAAGTTCCTCGTCATTATAATTCGCTTCTGATAGTGAAGAAAGTGACCCAGAGGTTATTGAAAACGAAAACATTTTAATTGAGAAATTAGTCGGTATTCTCAACACAGCAATTATAGGGCTTGAACAGCAGAACTTTGTAACTAAACAAGAAATTATGTCTGTTTAATAGAATTAAAGAGAAAGTATTATCACATGATGAAACGAAGCAACTTACATTGAAGGAAATGTTTAATAAAGTAAACAAACAAAAAAAAAAAAAAAAGGTTTGAATAAAATCTGAAATGTTTCAGATTTTAAATTACGTCCAAAGGGGCGTTTTTTAACATTTTGTGTGTTCCTTCTTTATTAAAATATCATGTTCCTCGCACTTAAACCATAAGATCCAGTGCAACAGCAATATCGCAAAATAGTTTTAAAACGAGCATTATCTTTAGAATTTCCGATACAGAGACTCACGCGCTGGAGATAAAAATGTTTTTTCTGCACAACGTTGCCATTGCTCGCTTTGAAATCCTTGAGTTTGTTAATCAAAAATTCGTCAAAGTTTTAAAAAATAGGAAATCGATCATAAAACAAATTTCAAATTTGGTCTTCCACATGCTCATATTCGTTGGAGGATTACGTTATTCAAAATTCGATGACTCTATGTACCGTTGTTTTATCACAATACGAGAAATATACATACATTTATGCAGATTTTTCATTATTTAATTTCTTCAAATATAATGCAGGACTCTAACATTTTGTGGCAACAGTTTGAAAAGTGAACCGACATTTATGAGTCCGACGCAAAATGCCAAAACGAAACTAATAGTCCTTCGGGATTCAAATCCCTTTGGACTAATAAATATTAAGTTTTTCTTTTTGTAAATTTTGATACCCTTTAGATCATAATTGTTCTTTATTTCATAAATTACGGTTTCATATTTTTAATTTTGTAATTTCTGCATGCCATCTTACCAGATTTAAACTGATGATCTATAATCCGGAAACGCCGAAGTCCCGACGAGTCCGGATTAACGACTTTTGACTGTACTACATTTAGTAAGGAATTATAAGCCGAATAAAATAAAAACATCTGCCCTGAAGATAAGGAGAGTACTGACAGATCAACTTCCAGTTCATTGCGCGCTGCGTCGTTTAAGCTTAGTCTTGCGCGCTGCGTTAGAAGCTAGCTAGCCAATGTTTTAAAATACATGTTGGTAAAATATCTGAGCCAGCTTAAATTAGTCTCTTTTATGTGTATGCTTGGACTACATTTCTGTATTTAAATATAATACTTTATACTATAACTATCTGCATGTAGTGGAAGTTCTGTCTGTAGCACAAGTTGTACCTATTTTGTTACATTTAAGACTAAGTAAAAAGGTTATTCTGACCTTCTTCCAGTAATTTGCGAGTTTTTTAAGACTCATTACTAATCTAGTAAGGTTTGTAGTATTTTAGCTTACAGTTTCAACAGAAACCCCATAAAGAACTAAAAAAAAAAAAAAAATTATTACTTTTTAATAACTTTTAATCTTCTACAGCTTATTGATTTTATTTTTTATTATTAAACTGCATATTTCATATTTACGAGTTCCATCTTAAGCCTTAAAATAGGTGGCAGCGAGATTATTCTTTTTCAGCATCTAGCATAGGGACTATTTGTGAGGATTATAATTTTGTTTTTTAGCATGTTTGCAATATGTCTTTCTATGATTTTTTTTTTTTTTTTTTTATTTTATCAAGTGGTAGGTTTTGCTCAACATACGGGGGTTATTTCCCTTCTCAAATGAGTGACTCACCTAATATGTTAATCCCAAGCAATCATCAAATAAATCTAAAAAATTTTTTATTATCTGCTCTAAGTTTATTATTATTATTATTTATTTATTTATTATTTGAAAACTAATTTGAGTCTAACCCCAAAATCACATTTGATTGAAAATTTTTCACACACATACACAAAAAAAGGGGAAGGAACTTAGTCATTTTTAACTTTCACATTTAAACATTTCACACTCGTTCTACACATTCCCAATGTCTTACCTGTGCCTGTTAACACCTTGATTCCTGCCACATCGAATAATCTATCCTTTCTAAAATTTTTCTTAAAAATTATTTCTGCTAAAAAGCTACTTTGTACCACTGTGTTCAGTAAAGCCTCTGAAGGAACGCTATTAAAAAAATCTGATATCTAGGAGCGACAGATCTTTAATTAGTACCATATTTAATTGCGTGTGTGATACTTTTTCTTTCACCTGGAGTGACTCAGCTCTCAAACCTACAGCACTCCTAACCAGTTTTAAAGGTTTTTTTTTTTTTTTTTTTATCATTACCCACTTTCCCTTTTTAAGATTGATCTTGAAACATTTTGTCGATTACCAAAACTTTTCCTGCCATCAAATTTACCACCTATTTAGTCTACAGGTTTCTGAAAATGTTCACTAAAACTTTCCTCACATTATTGCCTATCATATTTACTGACATGTTTCACTGCTAACTCAAAAAGCTACTAGCACTTCTTAACTGCTGTGACAATTTTTTTGGCGTTAATTACTGTGAGCAGTCTCACAGACCGCTTTAAAGAAACGCGTAAAAAAACATACTTTTACGCCTTCTTAAGGAATGTTATAAATACTTTTGCATATTTACAGAATTCTAATTCATTTAAATCAATATATTTTAAATATAAATCATTTGATTTTACACAGTTAAATTCATATAAAAATATGACTATTTTCTTCGTTTTAAGAAACAAAGTTTTTAAAGAATAAAGATTTTATAAAACATGCATGAAAATATGCGACTTTATTAAGTACAGTCAAAAGTCGTTAATTCGGACACCCATAATCCGGAATGATCTATACTCCGGACCTCAAAGCTACCACCTTTCTGCGCATGCGTGTGTAAGACCTTTACGGCTGTGAATATGCGTGTGCGCAAGTGCATAATACGTTTACACACGCGCATTTAATGTATAACGGACGGTATAAACTAAGCTAAGATTATCTAATTCAGTTAATGTTGCAGATTGTGTTGTTCCTTAATCTTCGAATTCGATCCGGCTTATTGTTTTTTGCAGACTGTTAGAGCAATTTTGTAAAAGTAAGCTTGAACTTTCGATTATGTCAAATAGAATTTCCGATATATATTTACAAATATGTAAAGGATCTACAAAGCGAAAGTATGTTTCCAAGTCCAATAAACAAAAAGTGGAACTGCTGCAAAAAATGGATAAAAGCATATTCTTCGTTTCTCAAACCATTCCGAAATCTGTTTATCAATTTCACGCTGCTCTGCGGCTGGGGGGGGGGGGAACGCCGCGGCACGCAATGAATTGGAAGTTGATCTGTCAGCACAATCCTTATCTTCAGGGCAGATGTTTTTATTTTATTTGGCTTATAATTCCTTACTAATTGTAGTATTTATCTCGATGTACTCCGTCTTTGATATGATTTAAATGAAATTCCTCGTCATTATAATTCGTTTCCGACAGTGAAGAAAGTGACACAGAGGTTATTGAAAACGACAAAATTTCGATCGACAAATTAGTCGGTATTCCCAACACAGCAATTATAGGACTTGAACAGCAGAACTTTGTTAATGAAGAAGAAATTATGTCTTTTTATAGAATTAAAGAGAAAGTATTATCACATAAAACCAAACAACTTACATTGAAAGAAATGTTTAATAAAGTAAACAAATAAATATTAAGCTTTTTTTTTTTTTTTTTTTTTGTAAATTTTGATACCCTTTAGATCATAATTGTTCTTTATTTCATAAATTACGGTTTCATATTTTTAATTTTATAATTACTGCATGCCATCTTACCAGATTTAAACTGATGATCTATAATCTGGAAAAATCGATAATCCGGAATCGCCGAAGTTCCGACGAGTCCGGATTAACGACATTTAAACGTATGATGCGATTGGTTGTAATGCATGACTACAATGGTTTCGATTGCTGGGAAAATATATCTCATGGCTTATTTCTGCATTGGATGTTGGTTAGGAAGTATATTGGTTATTTTGCTGTCAGTGGTAAGATTAAT